GGTCCCTGCCCTATGAGCTCACAGCCTAGTGAAAGAGAGACAAAAAACAAGTAAACAGGCACATAAAGACATTACAATTTACAGTTGGTGCTAAAAAAGACACAGGGTATTGAAAATGAGAGTAAATGGGGGGAAGGATGTACTTAAATACATGGGTGATCAGGGAAGGCCTCTCTGGGAAGTGGCTTGGTGTGTGGCCCAAGCTTAGTTGAGAGGAAAGACAGAGGTGTGATTGAGGCTGAAAGGACTGGAAGGGATTGGCTCACCAGGGTCTTGTAAGCATTGGTATGGAGTTCGGATTTTATTCTATACTCCAGATGAGAAATCAGTGCAGGATTTTCAATAGGAGAGTAACCACAATTACATTTTAAAAAATTACTCTTTCTGCGGTGGAAATGTATTAGTTTTCTGTTGCTGCATAACCAGTTGTCATAAACATAGCCATTTAAAATGGTACATGTTTATTATCTCAGTCCAGGCATAGCTTAGCTGTGTCCTCTGAAGAGTGAGAATCTATGACACAATCCTGTAGGGTCACCACAGCCCATGTTTCACAGGTGCCCAAACCTAGTTTTGCACATGTGTCTGTGTCATAAACCATTTTGCACATAAACTGTGTCATCTTGTACAAGTCACATTAAGTCTCTTGAACCTTGGTTTCCCCATCTATAAAATGGGAATAATAATACCTATTGCAGGATTATAGACAGGAGTAAATGATTATAAAGTATCTGCTCTAGAGCCTAGGATATAAGAAGATAGTCAATAAACTGTAGTGTTCAGTACCATAAAAATTGACTCAAGTCAACCAAACTCACTAGAGACTCACGTATTGACCAGACTACCAATATTAAGAACATATGAAGAATAACTTGCCAGGCAGATTGGAATATTCATGTCACGTGGTCAGTATGCTTTGTCCTCTGAAGGAATGTCTACATGGGAAGACTGAGGGCTGTCAGAAACTCTTGTAAGTTGGAGGAAGAGCAGAGGGAGATGGGTCTCTGGGAAAATCCAGCTGTAATGAGGGGCTTGGACTATCAAGGCACTGTCAGGCCACTGTTCGTGGTATAAGGCAGAGATCTGGTAACAAGTGCTCACTCTTGGGTGTTCTTTCCAGTCATCCAGAAGACTCTGTTCCTTTGATCGTATCACAGGGGGGTTTATGACACAGTTGATTAGGCTATGGTTTTGGCTGCTTGTATTCTAGGCCTGAGATGCAGTCCCTTGACTGCAATTGGACACAGGTGTTTCTTGAGTTGACACCATCTCCTAAAATGTTCCCTTTTGGTCATTGCTCACTGTCCAAGCTCATTGATTCTTACAAATTCCCTCATAAAGTGACTGAAGCCCAATTTAGGGAAGGGTGGATATACCTTGAGGCATTGTTCTATTTAACATTCTAAATATATAATGTATTCAATATGGTGGCTTTACAGATGAGAAAACTAAGGCACAGCAGGGATTTCCTATTTAAGAATGGAGGCAGAGTCCTTACCTCGTCCCCGGATCCTTGTAAACTCCCAGTGCCATACAGTTTCTGCTCCAACAGACCCTTTCTATGGAATGTTTTTGTCTGTCAGGAAGACCCACACTTTCCCCAAAGAAAGCTTTATATATAATCCAAATCCACCAAAACAAAATAAAAAAAGAACTGTTTCTCCCCATCATTTTGAGATCTCTGTCCAAATAAGTCCTAGTAGAGTGCCAGTAAAAAGCAGCCCTCCCCAGTGGGGGCTTTCCAGCACAACTCTTTGAGCCAAGGGCAACCACTTCTCACCCCCGACCCCCGACCCGACC